GGAGGAGTAGGGGCCTGGAAGCAGCCCCTCCCCAAGGAACCGGGCTGGATTCCCCGGGGACCACACACACACACACACACACACACACACACACACACACACACACACTTAGCACAGCAGCACAGCAGGGCCACCGATGCTGGTGACTGAGAGCCTTTAGCGAGGGGCCCTGCTCTTCTGAGCCTGCACTGCCTTGAGGGTCCACATGCCCACAGGTGTGCACAGGTGCACGAGAGTGTGTGCACTGACATATGTCTGCCACACACAGTCACTCTGACACAGCCCCACACATGTGTATGCAGTCACTGACCAAGAGTAGAGTCTGTGGCAGCCTCCCAGGGTTTTCTGGGGCTCAGCGGAGAGGCCCTGCCCTGTCTTTGTCCTAAGACAGTTGTTCTCCAAGTGAGGTCCCTGGACCAGCAGCATCAGCATCACCAGAGAACTTGTCAGAAATGCTTTGTGTCTGTTTCTCCCGCCCGTGGAACACTGAGCTGTCCAGGGGCCTCCCATGGGGCTACAACTCCCCCACACGCTTTTTCTGTGCCAGCCTCTCTGCTCAATAGACTTCATGCACATTATCTCATTTAAAACTCACAGATATACTGCAGACATGCACCGTATTGTGCCTCTGTTTTTCAGATGGGGAAGCCAAAGCTCGGAAGGCTTAGACTTGCCTGGAGTCCACAAGGCTCCTAAGTGCGCTCCCTTAATCACATTCTAGACATAGCTCCGCCTGGCTGAATGTAAACACCCCACCCAGGCCGGTGCCCGCTGTGCCAGGCCCCACCCCTGCCACTCCCCATGTCCCCTGGGTCTCTCCCCATCTCAACAGCCAGTCCTAAATCTTTCTTCAAGAGACAAGGCCACGTCATCCACACCCCGGGTGGGACGAGGGGCAGGAGGCAAAGCCCCACCTCGGGAGCAGGCAGCACCTCAGCCAAGGCCCTCGCAGTCCCGCATGCCCCGCCCCACCCCGAGAGGAGTGGGGACGCACGCAGCCCGGCCTGCACCCCAATGCCTGGAGGGACAGCCTGCTGTGCAGCTGACCTGAGGAATCCAAAGACTGCTGCACTGCTGTGCGCGCGTCTGATCCAGAACATCCCCTGAGTTATATTAGGAGGGACCTGGGTTTGGGTCCTAACTTATTGCGTGACCTGCTCTGGTCCCCTCTTGGAATCTGTTTTTCCATTTCTGCAGTGAAAGGGCTGACTAATGATTTACAAGGATGTTTCCTGCTCTGAAACTCTGTCTTGGAGTCTAGATTTCCACGTGACATTGGAGAAGTCTGGCGGAGACAAGGGAATCTGAAATGCCAGTGGCTCTGGACCCGGCTCTCTGCTCAGCCTAGCTCATCTTTGCCTGAGACTTGGGAGTGAGCCCCGGCTCCCCGGACGCGCCTGGCTTTGCACCTACTCCTCCCTCTCCCACATACTCACCAAAGGGAATTTCTCTTCTACAGCACATCCCTGCAGGGCACCAGGGCCCTTGTCCCCGACCCAGAGGCAGCCATGGGGGCCTGTGCCGTGGTGACTGACGCCAACATCTCATCCGGCCTGGAGAACAACATCACAGGCCTCACAGCCTTCTCCATGCCCGGCTGGCAGCTGGCACTGTGGGCCGCAGCCTACCTGGCTCTGGTGCTGGTGGCTGTGACAGGCAACGCCACAGTCATATGGATCATCCTGGCCCATCAGAGGATGCGTACAGTCACCAACTACTTCATTGTCAACCTGGCCCTGGCCGACCTCTGCATGGCCGCCTTCAATGCCGCCTTCAACTTTGTCTACGCCAGCCACAACATCTGGTACTTTGGCCGTGCCTTCTGCTACTTCCAGAACCTCTTCCCCATCACAGCCATGTTTGTCAGCATCTACTCCATGACCGCCATCGCCGCCGACAGGCAAGAAGGGGCAGCGGGGTAGCAGAGCAGCTGAGGGGAGTCGGCTCACTTGGCTGAGGTTCAGACAGGGGTGGTAACTTGCCTGCAGTCACACAGCAAGTTAAGGGCAGAACCCAGGGAATGCATTGCCTCCCAACCTGATCATATCCTAAACTATGCATCTGGGAGACAGGGGACTGTGGAACCGAAGCAAGTCAGGTTAAGGCTAGACACAAGGAAGAACTTCACACTAGACGGTTTGTTCAAGGCCACAGGGGAAGAGTGATAGTGTTTTAGGGACCTTCTGGAGTGTTCTCTGGAGTTGCTCTTTGTTGCAGCACCTTTCACTAAAAGGAAACTGTTTATATTGTTTTCCCACTCCTAGATAGATTACATGAGGGGTAAATTTAACACTGCATGTAGTTATCATATAATTACAATGAGCCAATTACTTTCCCAGTGCTGCTCCCTGGGGCACAGGTTGTGACCCTCTGCTGAGGGGGCGGGGGGGGCAGAAGAGGGATCAGTGGGCAGATCTGGAGTCTTCTTTGGACATGGAAGGGGACTGTGTGTCCCCGGAAGTGTGGCTGAGAGAGACAACAAACAAAAAGGGACAGCGGGAAGACAGCAGGCGTGTGTGGGAGGCAGGACTCTCAGAGCACAAACTCCTCGTCAGGAAGGTTTGATGAGGTGTGGGCGTCGCGGTTCCCCAATGACCCCCGCAGTCTCTACCCCAGCCCCACTGGCCCAGCCACCTCTCTCCCACAGCAGCTCGAGTCTCTGCTCTTGGCTATTTTACTATGAAGTTTCCCTGCAGATTTCACTTGAGAAATGTATTTCTACTAATTAAAAATGAAAAGAAAGTCTGAAAACCATACATCTAGGCCAAGCTTCTAATTTTGCACCAGGGAAACTGAGGACAGAGACGGACAGGATCACCTGAAGTCAGCCAGCAAGTTGGGGCAGGGCCAGGAGCCTGGAGCCCAGACCTCCTGGCTGTCAGCCCTGGACCACACCCTCCATGATCCAACCACAGCCCCCAACCCCCCACCAAGAGCACCTTAACACACCCTAGATGTTTCTGAAAGTCCCACTAAAAGCCCCCAAAATCACAGCCTCATGGGCCTTTCATTTTAAATGCTGAGGGGCAGGGGAGTATGGACTGTAGAGGGTAGGGTGGGAGCCAGGAGATCAGGCAGGAGGCAGCTGAACAGTAATCCAGGTGAGGGAGGATGGTGGCTCAGGTCAGGGTGGTAGTGATGGAGACCCGTCCCTTCATTTCTTCATTAATTCTTATGTTCATTGCCCACTGTGTACAAACACTGTTCTGGGCATTGCGTGGGGGGCAGGGGAACAGATAAAGATGCCTTCCCTGGTGAGAACTTAAATAATAATCACAAGAATAAATAAATTTTATATTGTATTTTGAGGTCATGAGAGCTATGGGAAAATATTAGGAAGGGGAAAGGGCCTCGAGGTGCTAGGGTGTGTGTGTTGAGGTGGGCCAGGGTGCAGTGTTAGGGTGTCAAGGTTGGCCTTATTGTGAGGGTGGGATTTGAGCAAAGACAGGAAGGAGGCATGAGAGTGAGCCCCGTGGGCTCTGGGGGAAGAACGTTCCAGGCAGAGGTGCAGGAGCACGCCTGTGTGTGTGAGGAGCAGGGAGGGGGCTGTCCTCACCTAGACAGGGTGGAAACACTCACAGGGCACAGAGTCCCATTCACGTGATGCCTAAGACCTCAAGACATGAAATTCCCTGCCCAGGGCAAGGGCTAAAGAAAACATGAGGCCACAAGGTTCAGATTAATCCCAGGGAGGAAGATCTGGGGGTCATGCAGGACCAAAGCCATTTCTGGTGAATTTAAAAGAAAGACATAAATAGGACTGACCACACTCTCCAGTCCTGGGCTCCTCTGCCTGCAGGCACTTGTCAAGCATCTCATTTCTCTGCACAACAACCCTAATGGCCCAAATTATGATCATCCCATTTCACGGAGGTGGAAACAGAAGCCCAAAGAGGTTAGGTTGTTTGCTTAAGACCCTCCTGCTGGAAAGCGGTGGAGCCAGGACTCATTTCCACTTCAGTCGGAATCCAAAGTCCCAGGTCTGCCGCTCTACAATTAGCATAAGAAGGAAAGCTCCTCTTCCCCGCCCCACCTCCCAGGGCAGCAAGGGAACCTGAGTCCCCCGGGGGGTGAAAATCACAACTACAAATGTAGGCAGCACACCACGCTTTGCTGGGACACCAGCAGTGCCTGGGCTATGTCACCAACAGAAATCACAGATACTCATGCAGAAATCTCAAAGCATCACCCACACTCGTCACTAGTGCTTCAAAATTACCACGGTTCCCAAACCTGCTGCTAGATCTTGCTTAGAGGCTGATAAGGGAGAGTGTATGATACTATGTCCCCCATTTATTTTATATCTGGATAACTGTACTTCAGGATCACTGATTGCATTTGTAATCCTGTGTATTTTAATTTATGCATATAAAAACTTTACTCTGAGGAGGGGTCCGTGGACTTCCCGGGATGGCCAGTGGGTCCAGGACACGAGAGGGCCCCCTTGAGCCCCACACCCTCCTTCCGAGGAGGAAACCAAAGCCCCAGGAAACACAGCAGGTAGAGGCAGTGTGGGGGCTGAGGTGGGGCCCTGCGTTTTGGGTTCCCTTGACTTTAGGGAAGCAGGCGGCTACTCACAGCTCCTCCTTCCTCCTTCAGGGCCCTAGACGCAAGAGGCCTCAGCCCACTAGGTCTCAGGACAGTCCCACAGCGGGTGGGGGTCCTGGGAGCAGACGGGAGCTACACACCCTGGGTTCAAAGCCAGCAGTGCGTCTTCCAAGCTGGGTCTCCCCCTGGCCCCCCGCAGCTGTGGAAGCTGGAGGTAACAACTGCTCACCAGGCCTGGAGGTGTCAAAGGCAGGACACATCCCCGCGGGTTCCCTCAGGGAGAGCCAGGAGCTGAGGTGACCAGCCTGCTCCTGGCTGACCTCACCGAGGAGCTGGACTTTTATGTAGACTTCGGCTGAATCCATAGAGGAATGAGGAATTACAGGTCGCGGGGGAGAAAACAACTCGTAGAGGGTTGGCAGGGTCGTTCAGTGGCCAATGTGAGCCAGGGAAGGGACAGGAAGTGGTGACACAAGAGGCTGGACAGTGCATTAGCCACATGCAGAGGGCCCTGAATGCTGAGTTTAAAGGTCTGGGCCCGCATTGTCCAAAAATATAACCACAGCCATATGTGCCTGTTTATGTTTAAATTAATTAAAATTAAAAATTCAGTTTCTCAGTCATATTAGCCACACTTCCAGTGCTCACAGCCACGTGTGCATATGTAGAGCATTTCCTCCACCACAGAAGGCTGGCGGGCAGCCGCTCTGGGCTTTGTCCAGGAGACTGCCGGGCTCTGCCGGTTCTGAACATGAGAGGGACTGTGGCTGAGGAGCTCGACGGGGCTGAGCCTCAGGCCGACGGCCCGGGCTGGACTTCCGGTGTGGCCACATTGCCCTCCTGTGGCCACCTGAGAGCATGTCCGCGCTCAGAGGGACGCCGGGTGGCGGAAAGGTGAGGGTGGGCTGGGGCTTAGGGCACTAGTGTCCCATATGGCTGTGGGAGGGTCACAGCCTAGCTGGCTCTCTGCAGGTCACCAGCAGGGTGTGAGGAAGAGGACTAGGAGACGTGGGCCTGCGGTGGGGGAGAGGAGGTGGGGCAGGTCTGACGGGAGGGCGCCCACTGCTCACACCGCCCTCTGCTCACAGGTACATGGCCATCGTCCACCCCTTCCAGCCACGGCTCTCAGCGCCCGGCACCAGGGCAGTTATTGCTGGCATCTGGCTAGTGGCCCTGGCCCTCGCCTTCCCCCAGTGCTTCTACTCCACCATCACCATGGACCAGGGTGCCACCAAGTGCGTGGTGGCCTGGCCCGAAGACAGCGGTGGCAAGACACTCCTTTTGTAAGACCTGGGGGTGGGGGAGCGCGGTGTGTGTGTGTGTGCATGCACATATGTACAGTGTGTACACATGGGTGTGCACATGGGTCTGAGAGTGAATCTGGGATTATGTGAGTACAGTATAAACTAAAAGTAACAGCACTTACTAAGTGTCAGGCTTGGTCTAAGTACTTTGCATACATGAACCCATTTAATTCTAACAACATAGGGGTATGGATGTATTATTATTCCTATTTTTTGGATGAGGAAACTGAGGTATTAAAAAACTACATAATGTCTCTAAAACCACACAGCTAGTAAGTGGTAAATCAAGACTTTAAATTTAGGCACTCCTGCTTCAGAGCCCAGTCTCCTCACCACTCTGCTACTTAAAAAAGGGTGTGTGTCTCCCTAAATGAGGACAGGTATGTGTGCACATGTGACATGCATGTGTGTCTGTGTATGTGTGTAAGTATCTGAGTGTGTTTGTGGAAGGGTGTGTGCACACGGGTACGTGTTTGGGAATGTGTGTTTGGGGGAGGGCATCGTAAATGCTCAGGCCACAGAAGGTCAGGGTATTGAGGCAGAAAGAAGGGGTAGGTGATGAGCCTGAGACGTTTTCAGGAGTCTGGTGCCAGCCTGGTGCTCAGGTGAGCACCATGGGCTGGGGGACGGGGGGAGAAAGCAGAAGAACTCAAGCATGGTCCAGCTGCCGTATGACTCTGGGTAAGTCCTTTCCCTCTCTGGGCTTCAGTTTGCCCAGTTCTCAGGGTGCGGCTTGTCATCCCCAAGCAGGGCGTGGTTGGTCGTAGACAGTAAAGAACTGCTTGAGGTTCTGGAGTCAGTGGTCATGTTGGAGTGCTGCTCTGTCCCCTGCTGGCTGGAGGGCCTTGGTGGTCACTTAACCTTTGGCTCCTTCTACCTCAAACGGAATTAGTAGAGAATCTTCCTCAAGGGCTGTTGTGAGCATACATGAGAAAATGTACCTGTCGCACTTAGCACCGTGCCTGGCACAGAACCGGCACCCAGTATGTGGTAAACAGGGGACAAACGAAAACAAAGCTGGAGGTGGCAGATTTAGTCCAACAAAGGCCCAGCTGCCCCAGGCATGAGGATGTGCAGGCTCGGAGCGGCCAGATCACGACAACCCCCCCTCCCGCGCCTCCGTTAACACCGCTCCCCCGGCGCCGGCCCCTACCTGGTCTCCGCCTGTCCTAAGCACCGCGCTGTGGCCTTCAGGGAAGGCGCCATTCCTCTGAGAAGCTTCTTCCCAAGGACTGCTGAGCTTCGAGGGCAGACCCTGCCCTGGGGCTCTGCCCCTACCTTGCACCCGCGTTCTCGGGACTCACTGCTCCAATGGCGGTGGACGTAGGGACGGCCCCCGCCCCTGACTCAGGGAACGCGTGGAGAGCGGAACGTTTCGTGACTGGCCACTGGGGGGCGGTGTTTCCTCACCGTAAGAGTGGGTTTTTCTCCCTCAGGTAGGGAACAGTCAGAATTTAGGGTATCAAGCACCAGCTTTGGGGGAATGGTGAACTACAACCCTGATTCAGGCAACAGGGGAAAACAGGAGGGCAGAGATAGGCTAGGAAGGCTGTACTTTGGGGTTACTTCGAATTCTGGGAGGATTTGGGGAAAGCCTGGTTTCTTGTGTGAGAATGTATGATCATTCCTGGGTGAGGGAACTTCTGGGATTTAGACTGCGGGCTCCATCCTTACAGGTTCACATCCTGTGTATATAGGAATCTGATGAAATGACAGATGCCCTCTCCAGGAAAATGCACATATGCTCCCAAAATCAAAATACAAAAAAAGGCAGTCCAGGCTGGGAGAGGAGGCATCCCTGATTTTGGCAGGCCCTAGAAGACAGTCCCTGAGGGTCCTTGGCACTCCCTTCTGGGTGGGAACCTAGCCCAGAGTGAATTCCTATCCTGAACTGCCATCCCAAGGAAAGAATGCGGCAACTGGGAGGTGTTACTCATACTTAAGAAGGATGGTAGAGATTACCTCCTCCTTACAAATGGGGAAACCGAGACTGAGGAAACGATCTGACTTGCCCAAGGTCACATTTTTTTTTTTTGGCTGATAGCCTAGATTTTAAAAAAATTTTTTAATTGTGTTTAATGGCATTTGAAACTTTAAATGAATGTATTACTTGGTTAACTTTTTCTTTTCCTATTTATTTCCTTGTTTGGTAACTTGTGTGCCACTTGGAAAGACTCAAAGCTAACGCTGGTGTGTCCCTTTTGCAGCAGGGGAAGCCCTCTTTGGGCACATATGCTAGCCAGTGTTGCCTTTTCTTTTCTTTTCTTTTCTTGTCTTTTATTTTCTTCCTTTCCTTTCCTTTCCTTTAAATCAAACCAAGGCCTTGGGAGGTGGCCCAGGGTGGCCCACCTGGGGCAGCTCAGGGGCGCCCGCCAGAGTCCCAGGGACTAGGCTCTGGCAGATGCTGGAGTCGCCCCCGGACCACCCCGTGCCCAGGCCCTCGACTCTCCCTCCAGGTACCACCTCGCGGTGATCGCCCTCATTTACTTCCTTCCTCTCGTGGTGATGTTCGTCGCCTACAGTGTCATCGGCCTCACACTCTGGAGACGCACTGTTCCCGTGCACCAGGCTCACGGCGCCAACCTGCGCCACCTGCAGGCCAAGAAGAAGGTGAACTCTGGGGGCGGGGAAGGAAGTCTGGCCCTGCCTCCGGAGATGCTGTTTCCGGCTTGTCCTTGATAGAATTCACCTGTAACTTGCCCTTGTCTTAAGTTCCTGGCCAGCGCCTTCTTTCCATCTTTCCGGACCAGCGAACTTGCCTTTGGTCTTTGGCCAAATACAAAGCAAAATGGAAATTCCCAGAATTTTAGGAGAATTGGGAAACCCTAAAGCTCCACAGAATTTCAGGTACTTCCAAGAATCTTAGAATGATAGAATCTGAAAACCTTAGACTTTCTGAATAATCAGAATGTCGAATTTAAGATGCCCCACAGAACTACAGGAGACTCCTGGATAGAATCACAGGAGAATTCTCAAATGCTGGCACTGCAGACCTCAGAGATCGTGGAGACTGGATTGTGGTCCAGCTACATAGTTTGTCTTCAGCGTCCAACCAAAATGTGTCTCCCTCCCCGCTGCCACTCAGGGTCTCCCAAGGATCCTGATTTGGCATCTCTGTTCCAGAACTTCTCCACTCTTTCCCAGTCAAAGCTCATCTTTGCCATTCCCCCTTCCTGTTAGATGACCAGGGGAGGTAATGGGCTAATCACATCACGAGGCAGGTCAAAGTCTTGGCTTCTCATCTGCCATTAGGTATTTTCCACAGGGCAATTCAGGGAGGCGGTTGGATATGGAGAGCTGATCTCCATTTGCCATCCCTGGCTTGTCCTCTGTGCCTCCTGGGACACTGGGTCATGCTCGGGGGCATCTGCAGAGACCAGGCCATGAGTAGGGAAAGGTCAGGGAGCTGGCCCCTGGGCAGAGACTGGGGTCCCCAGTTGGAGCCTCACTACCTATGGCTAGAAGGGCTGTGGCAGACAGGCTGCAGGGAGAGGGGGGCCTGGGAACCCATAACTGGCATGGGTCTCCCCTAAGGATGGGGTCAGGAGCAAAAACTCATGCACTCTCCAGGGAGGGGAGCTGCTCTGCTCTATAAGGGATCCGGTTCGCCTTTTAGACGAGCTGGGCTTTGAGGAGTGAGGCCTTAAAGGAGAGAGAGCAATGTGGGCAGAGGGACTGGCCTGAGCAAAATCCCCGAGGTGGAGGGCCTAGGAGTGTCTGTGTAGAAGATGCTCTAGGGGACTGAGGCCGTAGAGGGGGATGGGGCCTGCTTACTGAGGGCTTCCCAGGCTGGCTAGAGGGGTGCCTCACCCTTGGGAAGACTGGGGCTTAGGGCTTCCAGGCGAGGAGTGACCTGAGTCTCTCCTGGACCAGTTCGTGAAGACCATGGTGCTGGTGGTGGTGACGTTTGCCGTCTGCTGGCTGCCCTACCACCTCTACTTCATCCTGGGCAGCTTCCAGGAGGACATCTACTGCCACAAGTTCATCCAGCAGGTCTACCTGGCGCTCTTCTGGCTGGCCATGAGCTCCACCATGTACAACCCCATCATCTACTGCTGCCTCAACCACAGGTGAGCGCTCCCCCCAGCCCTCCCCATCTGGGCGCCCCTGCACAGCTTGAGCCTGTGCCCCCCACCCGAGCAGGGGATCACCATTCTTACAGGGAGCCTGCAGCACAAGCCTCCCTCTGGTCCGGGCCGACCTTGAGCCCCACCCCCTGCCCAAAGCCTTGCCCCATTCCCTGGGCCACATCTCTCACTGTTGGCCTGTTCCTGCTCCTTCTTCTGGGCACTGCATCTGGGACAAGGAGAAGAGAGAAGGGAGGGACAGAGATGGATGGAGGGGAGAGGCAGAGAGAGGCAGAAGTCCAGCCAGAGAGGAAGGAAAGAGCCAGGTGAAGGCGGGAGGGGCTGACATTTGTGAGAGCTTCCCGCAGTGAGGAAGAACTGAGGACTTTCCTTGGGCTCAGTGGAAACCCAGCAGTAAATAGCACTGAGTCGGAGGTCTGGGGCAAGACTGGAGGGGGAGCAGGCTGCCCCCTGGGAAGACCACGGGGCATTTTCTGCCCTGGAGGGGCTTTCAGGGCAGCTAGGAAATGACCTTGGCAGAGACAGCCAGAGAGGAAGGAGCCACATTCTCACTCCACCAGCTGGGTTCTCCCATCCCTTGTACTCCTGGAGAAGTGGCGTCCCAGAGAGGGGCTGTACTTGCTCTGGGGCACTGGCGGAGATGGGAAGTGGTGGGCCAGGCAGGAGTCCCAGCACCCAGGAGTCCTGCTTCAGCCTCAGAGAACCTTGAAGGTGGGGCCAGGTAAGAAGAGATGAGAGGTAGCCTCTAAATCCTGGCCTCAACAAATGTGGGTGAGGTTGGCCCTGGGTCTCTTTATTCATGCCTTTTATTACCTCCTTGCCCATGTGTCCAGGCCACTCATAATACCAGTAGGGTCTTTGTTGCTCACACTCACCTGGGACAGGCCAGAAGAAAGTGAGAAAACTGATTTTTTTTTTTTTGAGTGTTTAATGGGTGCCAGAACCCTCCATTGTCTCCTGAGAGGAAAGTAGATAATATGAGGGAGGTATTATACCCATTTGGCAGATGAGGAAACTGAGCCTCAGAAAGGAAGACACTCCTAAACTCATACAGCAAGGATTCCATGTGTCTCTAAGGCCTGTAATCTCACCCCACATCACACATTTCTCTTGCAAGCAGCTTGTAGGATGAGAACTTGGAGACAGGGACTGTCACCTCAGGGACGGGCCCTGAGCCGTCTGTGTCTGTGCATTGGTCACTCTCCTGCTACCCAATGACACGGTCCCTGGGAGTCTGAACAACACCCCAGGGCTCTACAAGTTCCTAGAATAACTTCTGATAATGCAGGATTTGACGACACTAGCTCTAAAGTAGCACTGGTGCTCCCGGCAGAATCTTCCTTCCTTCAGAACAGTTCACCAAGTGGCTCTGTGTGTCCGGCGCTGTTCCAGGCACTGGGGATACCCCAGTGAATAAAAATAGCGATCCCTTTCCTCGGGGAGCTGACCTGCTAGTGGGGAGGCAGCGAGAGACAATAGGCAAACATGATGAGTAAGTGAACTACAGAGTGTATTCGGTGATAAATCCTGTGGGAAAAAGAGAAACTAGAGCTGGGTAAGGGAGGACAGGAAGGGCTGGGGGAAGAACTGGAAGAACTGGGCGTAAGGGCTGCAATTTTAAAGGATAGTCAGGGTGGGCCTTACTGAGAAGTCCTGAGCAAAGACTTGAGGACCGCGTGGGCCCTGCAGCTGCCTGGGCAAGAGCTCCGGGCGGCGGGAATAACCAAGGCCAGGCCCGGAGGGCCAGGCAAGGACTTGGGCTGGTTCTCGGACGTGAGCAGCCCTGCGGGGCTCTGACTTCCTTTGTGAAAGAGTCAGTCTCATAGCTGCACTGGAACGGGACCACATCAGGCCAAGGGGAGCAGCAGGGAGACGGCGAGGTGACTGCAGTGATCCAGGTAAGAGGGGATGGCTTTAGATGTGTGAGAAGTGGTCAGTCTAGATACTGCTAAAGTAGAGCCAAGAGAATGTGATGGAGACAAAGTCAGGGGTGACCCCAGGTTCTTGGCCTGAACTAGTGGAAGAGTGGAGTTGTGAGTTCTCAGTTGTCAGGAACTGAGATGTGGACCACTGGGCGGCAGCCGGGGTGGGGAGCTTGGTTGGATGTGCTGGATGTAAAGGGCAGAGGCCAGTAAGCTCGCATAATAAAGGCATTTGTTGAGCCACACTGTGGAATCTTTAGAGCTGCAGGATGAGGAACCCAAGTCAGGCCTGCTCTTCCGAAACATGGAACTCTGCGTCTCCTGGGAATAGACCATTCGGTTCTTTCCCTCCCTCTGCATCACACAGGGTCTCATCTGTTTCTGCTCCTGACAGGCCGGTGTTCTCTTTCTACCTGCTCTTTCTCATTTCTTCCACTCACTATCTGCTTCTTCTGATCTCTCATTTACCTGTGAGCCCTTGGTGTTGCCATGGGGAGAATTGTTTATTTTTTAAGCAAAGGTACTGAAACTAAGTAGTTCCTCGTGTATATTTTCTTTCAAAACTGTCCCCTTGGGAGAGCATCCTTAGTCCACCCAACATTGCCAAAGCCCCAATTTTTAAAGATTCCTCTTGGAAAACTCTTTTAGAAGCCAGTTAATAAGTCAAACAAGAAAATGTGTTGTCTTTATAATTGTACTAGGCTTATTTTTGTTTGTTTGTAATAACAAATGGTCTCATTCAGCTTATTCACCCACTTCAATCCTTGGACTTAGTTCCAGCTACTTCCAAAACCCAAAACCACTAAAGAAAGTATGTCTCCAGAGACTCTGAGCTCTTAGGTGTGAGGGAGTGACTCTGCTCTGGAGGAGAGAGCGGCTCCTGGAGGTGGCGGCAGCCCTAGGACAGTTCTCATAATTGTCGCCCTCACTCTGGTGCTCAAGGTGACCTTCTACCCACCAGGTTTCGCTCTGGATTCCGGCTTGCTTTCCGATGCTGCCCATGGGCCACACCAACCGAGGAGGACAAGATTGAGCTGACTCATACTCTCTCCCTCTCCAGGAGGGTCAAGAGGTGTCACACTAAGGAGACTTTGTTCATGGCTGGGGATGTGGTCCCCTCTGAAGCTGCCAGGGGGCAGGCTGAATGTCCCCAAGATGGAGTGTCTACTGAACCCTGAAGCCTTGTACCTGCCTGCAGGGTGAGACTTAGTACCCTTGAGAAGTAGCCAGTCAAGAGGACCACACCTGAAAGTTTGGCCCATGCCTCACCCTTCAGTACATCAATGGAAAAACAAGATGAGGCCAGGAACTCTGCAGAGATGCTGACTTTCCCAGCCACCCCTTTCAGACAGTGCTTCAGGGGATCCATTAAGAGTCAGAGAAGACAGTGGGAACTCACATTTACCAAATATAGGAGTTGCAAGTTCAAGTGCCTTCCTGGGGCATAAGACATATGAGTAAATTGGATCCAATATAGGAGAAAAAATGTAAATGTGATGATAAAAGGTAACTGACTTCCAGTGTTTGGGGCAATAGGGAATGGTGGGACTGTGGCAAACTGGAGGGTCTAGGCACCCAAAGGGACAGCAGCTGATCAGCTCTGGAAAAATGCTGTCACGTAGCTGGGATCCCATTGTTGCCAGAGCCTCTAAATCTTTCAAAAGAAACCAGAAATCCAAATTTATGGAACTTCCAGACTTGTTAACTTTGGCTCACATTTTTATAAATGTTGGGTAAACCAAACAAAACACATCTGTGGACAGCACCCAGCCATGACAGTGATTCATTATCAGGCTAAAGACACAAGAGAGAATGCTTCTTATTTTGCAAAGCCTGTGAGTCAATCCAGGGCTTCTCTGCCTCAGCATCTAAGAACCTAGATCCGCCCCAGCATAGGTGGTGGTTAAGAGTCAAAAGGAGCCTCAGCTGGGTGGCCTCATACAAGTCACCATGACCCTCAGCCTCTCCCTCTTTCAATGACAAAACTACCTCTCAGGGATGCTGTGGGTATGGGAGTGATGCCTATGAACTGGCAGGCCAAACGCAGATGAAGTGCTTCAGAAACAGCAGCCATGCTTGTATCACTACTAAGCCAGCCGTTTTACACGAATGCCTCCTGCAAGCCAACAACGCAGCTCTCACCCTGACTTCTGCAGCAAGAAGGTGCCAGGCAGAGAACGCCAACTGTCCAGGCTCCTGGAAAGCCCTAGGCCTGGCCCAGTCACCCCGCTTGCTGACCCACTCTTCATGCCTCAGTGCGTCGCCAAAAGAACCACATAACGCTGTCAGTGCACACCCAGAGTTTTCCACAAAATCACTGTGCCATAGGCACCGGCAGGGCCAAATAAAGGGACTCTGTTCTCACCAAACCAAGTGAGCATGCAGTCAATCCTAGGGAAAGCCACCAAGAGATATAGGAGATGGAGGGGTGGGTGTAGCTCAGTGGTAGAGTGCGTGCTTAGCATGTGCTAGGTCCTGGGTTCAATCCCCAGCACCTCCATATTAATAAAAAGGGAGATGTGGGAGACTCACGTGGCACCTCAATCACAGGGCACCGGAGTGCGGACTGATGTGGGCCCACCGACGGGCTGGCGGAGAATCCAAACAGGCAGCCACAGAGCGGAACAACACCCTCAAGGCTGAGGTGAGGCAGGGATGAAAGGGTCAGACCAGGGCCAGTTTCCTACAGAAGGGTTTCATTTACAACGGGGGTTGGGGAGAGGGCGGCAACTCTGCTACCCTGAGCTGCTGCAAGACTATCCGCTTAGGACAGGGGGCCTATTCATCCAGTGGCTTGGAGCTGGTGGAGAGGGTGATGAGGGTAGGACCTGCTTGGGGATGGCAGGAGGGAGGGCCAACGTTGCCCTGTCCTCTCATTAAACCCAAACAGTCCCTGCAAGCCAAGCTGACTTTTTCTTGTTCAATTACAAGTGAGGAAGCCAGGCTGTCGACTGGCTTTACCTTCTGAAAGGTGACGAGGTGGAGGCTCAGGAGTCCCTCCCCAGGGTAAGGGCCTGCGGCTAGAGCAGGAAGTGGGAGGGCAGGTGCTAGAAGGCAGGGGAGAGGCTACTTCAATGACCCTCTGCAGAGAGAGTACAGAAGTCCTCATGCCCAAAGAAGACTGGGTGCTGAAGAACACAGGCTTCATTTCAAACTCTGCCCTGACCCAGGAGGCTACAAAACCCCCCAGGGTTTGGTTTTTGCCACATCCCCAGACATCCTCCCTGCTCCCCAGCCACGAGGCATCACTCGGGTCTTTGAATTGGTACAAAGTTTACTAGGTCATACAACATGGCTCACAAAAGCGATGGGAAATTCCAATGAGCATACTGTTTCTTGATTGGTTTCTTTTACCCGAATGGAGACAAGACACTTTCCCACAGGACTGCCCACCTCCCCACAAGACAGACAGAATGCAAGACTGTCACGATGTGGCTATGACCAGCTCCACGGACACACAATTCAGTGGCACTGACACACCCTGATGGGAACCTCGGGACACTGGACAGCAGTGGGCGCTGGGCCGGGAGGAAGCGGCGCTAATGCACCCGTGGGAGGAGGAGTCCCGGCAGTGTCTGCTGGTGATAATACATTTCACACAGGGGACACATCCCCAAGGACAGGCTGTGAAGGCCCATAAGGCCTGTCAGAGGATGTGACTTTTCATCTCGGGCCAATAAATAACTGTTGGACATAATGCATAAATTAGAAACAAACGCCACTAAACTTTACACATGGGGAACGTACGACCAGGTTGAAATCAAATCATGCAAAGTGGTGGGGCAGGCGAGGAGGGATCCGGAGGTGAGAGAGATTATCAACAGCACACACTCTATTTTTACCCTACGTTATGCGCCATTAGTTGGCTTTTGTCTTCCTCCCCGCGGCGGTGGTGCGGGCCCTGTCGCCGGCGTCTCCCGGCACAGCTCACTGGGCAGAACAGGGGGTCGCTGCTTGAAGAGAGAAGTGCTGGAAGGGCAGCAGGCTCCGGGGGCCAGGACTCTTAGCTGCTCGTTTCGTCCCGGAGCCGAACACCCACTGCCGTGATGAGGGCGGCTCCCTTGCCGCTCCCATCTTCGGATAAGAGGAAGGACACATTACACTTTGGTGACAGTTCCTTTACGGTTTGGTGCATGATTCTGGAGAAGCTAAAAAAGACAAAAAACAGAGGAGAAGGGTAAGTAGGGGAATATGAGAGATGCTGGACCCCCCTGATGACACTGAAGGACCCTAACAACAAGGAGGGAAGCAAGATGGGGCGGGGGCTGCTTAGAAGCAGCTGCGGCTTATGGAGAACGGCTGGGAGGAAAGTGGGTTTACAGCCAATCCCATTACAATTTGCAGCAGGGAGGCACAACGGAGAACCCAAAACAAGCTTCTCTGAACAGCTTATGAGGGCCACGGCATGAATAGCATACCCAGACAGCTCCCATCCTCAAAGCCTGAGACTCCTAGGGCACTGAAAACCAAGAAGGGGTTCTGGGGCCTGGCCGTGGATCCCTGAGACTGACCAAGCTGGTCCGGCACTGGGTCAACTCAGCAGGCTGTGTGGAAATGAACATCACCCACCCCCAGCTGCAGCCCTCTGAGACCCCAGCCCATCTGCACCTAAAGCCAAGGGAGGGAGCCCCCTCCCACGCCCCAGTGAAGCATAACGTCAAAATGAGAGGTGACTCTAGGTCCTTGCAATTTGTGCTGAAAATTAGATAGGACCAGGCTGAGGATGCTCAGGGCAGTGGGGCGCCTAGCTGCCCTTTGCTGAGTACCGACTAGGTGCCCCACACTTTATGTACATAGCATTTGTCCTGCCTGTGGTTATTATCCCATGAAGAAGAGAAGACTCGGCAGAGATGGATCAGTTGAGCCCAGCTTCTAAATGGTGGTGCCAGGATTAAATCCAAGCATGTCCGTGTTTGGCTCCAAAGCCTAGCTCTAAACCACGGTGACAATGAGGACAGCTAGGAAGGTGGAGAGACAGAAGTGGGGATGGAGCAGGACAGATGGTTCCATCCCAAGCCACAGCCATGAGGTAAGCAGGCAATGCCCATGCTGAGTTGGGTGAGTCTGCTTTTAAGTAGGGTGACACTATGGCCCAGTTTACCTGGGATGATCCCAGCGTGATAATTAGTAGCACTCTCTTGACTGGAAAAAGTACCTCAGTTTTGACAATAAATAATATGGTCACTCTGTTCATATGCGCCAAGCTTTGGGACATGCAGTGGATCAAAGAGCAGATGGGCCCACACCATGAGGTGTCGGGTACCTGACCACAGGAGGTCACTCCCCATCCCCTCCCTGCTACAAAGCCCAGGGCCAAAGCTGCTCCTGCCTTCAGGGCTCCTGACGACCTGATTTAGCAGGGGAACCAGACAGCGGGCCTTCCTCCCCCTTCCTTGGCTCCCTCTCCCCACTTACCAAACCTCCTGGCCAGGCTGATGGGTAAGCCCATGCCCAGCCTTACCTCCTCTCCTGCTCCCCACCTGGACTCTGCCTGACCTAAGAGGGGCCTGGAAGGAGCGGAGAGCAGGACATGCCAGGCTACCGACGTGAGCTGACCAAGTGAAGCCATTCCCGGCCTCCCCAGGGATCCCAGGGAAACTTCAGAGCAGCTCATTTGCTCCTCCCAGACAAGCCCCGCGCTGACCGCGCAGCCTTCGGGTTGGCTGTGTCCTGCTGGGAATCACAACCCGATGTCCCACAAGCACAGATGCCAGGAAGCCCTGCCCACCCCCACCGGCAGCCCCACTCACTGCGGATGAAGTTTGTAGAGCGTTCCGTCCACCCCCACGGTCACGTTGAGGTGGTCCAGCCCTCTGTTCTCGCGGATCTTGTCCACCACGGCGGCCATGCCCGCGCCACACAGCTGCGCGGCCCTCCTGGACACCACCCCACACACGGTCTTCACGAGGATACTGTCGTCGCAGGTGCTGTTCAGCCCCAGCTGCTGGAGGATGGCCCGGACCTGCAGCAGCGCTAACCGGTCGCTGTGGGGGACGAAAGCCAGGAGGCTGGATGAAGCGGGGCCCACGCGCGCAGCCCAGGAGCCGACTCCAAAGGAGCCGGCCCCGAACTACCGTACTTTAATAGAGTCGTGGTTTTTTCCTCTTCAAAATAACATTTGTCCATTTTTTTAATGATCCCAAAAGTATTACATGTTAAGTTGTAGAAAAACTGGCAAACTAGAAAAATAAAAATTGTAAAATCAAAACTACAATCCCAACACCAGGGAAAATGCTATTAACGTTTAAATATATTTCCTTTCAACCTATTTTTCTTGGATAGCATTAAACAAGGTTGCCGTTCTTACGATGTGCTTACGAATGGGCTTGTCCTTTATCTGTGGTTTTCTTTCTTGCTCTTTTCCTACTTCATACATCTGAGCGATTTCCCACCTCCTTATCTGAGAACAGTGCTGCAAAACAGCTGCCAAGGTATTCCACTCTGGGGATGACCATCATTTATTCGGGCAGTTTAGAGAAATTTAAGTTGTTTGCAATTCCCTGCTACTGTAAACATGCTGATGTGGGTCCTGTTTCTAAGTCTTTATGCGCAACTCTTGATTTTTCCCTTAGGATGCATTTCTGGGTCAAAGGGCTTTTCATACATATTGCCAAGTGCCCTTCAGAAAGCTGTATCAATTTACTCTCTTCTCCAGCAGAGAATCTGGCCCAGCTTGTCCCCAGTGGAAAAGACTGGTTTTAATAACATTAGAAAGGCATCACACTGTGGTTTAACCTGCGTTCTTCTCTATTAGTGAGGATGAGTTTTTTGTTTTGTTTACTGGCCACATGAACTATCTATTATACCAAGACTCTTGTTCTCCTAGGATAGTTGTCTCCTTATTAAATTCAAAGAGCTGACAATGACTGATGATGGTGACAATGACAGTGATGAGAGAGGTTAGCCTTTTTTCGAGGACTTCCTGTGTGACAGGTGCTTTACATCCATTACCTCATTTCTTCCTCCTAATAGCTATCCAATCCACGCATGATTATTCCCATTTTAAAGATGTGAAAACTGAGGCTGGGAGAGATTGAGTAACTCACCCAAAGCTCACAGCCAGTGGGGTGGAGAGGTCTCAAGACCAGACCTGCCAAAGCCCTCACCCACAATGCCGTGCTATGCATCTTGTCACACGTAATGCAAATGTTTTCCTTAGTTTGCTGTTTGTCTTTTAAGTTTGATGACTGTTTTTTTTCCAATTTATAGAAACTATGTAGCTAAATTTGGGGGTTTTTTTCCTTTATGATTTCTCTCTTTGCTATTATGCTTAAAAAGACCTTCCCCAGCACTTCACACCCATTGGGATGGCTGTTATTAAGAGAGAAACAAAAACAGAAAATAACAAGTGTTGGCGAGGATGTGGAGAAGTTGGAGCCCTTTATGTACTGCTGGTGGGATGTAAAATGGTGCAGCCACTGTGGAAAATGGTATGGCAGTTCCTCCCCCCCCCAAAAAAATGAAGTAATTATGTGATTCAGCAATTCCACTTCCAGGTATATATATACCCAAAAGAATCAAAAGCGGGGACTCAGTCATGTATTTGTACACTGATATTTATAGCACTGTTCACAACAGCCAAAGGTGGAAGCAACCCAAGTGTCCATGGATGGGTGAATGGATAAACAAAATGTGCTCTATACATACAAAGAATTATTCAGCCTTAAAAAGGAAGGAAATTCTGACACATGCTACAACATGGATGAAACTTGCAGACATTATGCAAAGTGCAATAAGCCAGATGTGGAAAGACAAATGCTATATGATTTCACTTACATGAGGTCACTAGAGTAGTCAAATTCATAGAGACAGAAGGTGGAAGGGTGGTGGCCAGGGGCTGGGGGAAGGGAGGAATGGGGAGTTAGTGTTTAATGGGGACAGAGTTTCAGTCTGGGATGACGAGAAAGTTCTGGAGGTGGATGGTGGTGACGGCTGATCAACAATGTGAATGTACTTCATGCCACTGCATAGTTCAAAATGGTTACGGTGGTAAATGCTACGTCACGTATATCCACCACAATAAAAATGTTAGCAAGAAATAGTCACTGATATTTTCTTCTCGTTCTTACATGGGTCCTATTTTCCACACTTGGCTCTTGGGAGAAACTTAGGATGAGGAGAGATGGAAGCCGGGAACTTGTTTTCCAATCACAGCGCCTCCCTTCCCCGCGACTGTGAAATGCTACTGGTCCACCTGCTGAAGACCGCCAGGGTCAGGGCTGCGGGGCCGCTGTTGGCAGCCAGCACGTCCCTGTGTGGGTTCTGGTGGCCAGTGAGTTTACCTGCCAGTTACAGACCAGGCCTGGGGGAAAACGAGGAGCAGGCCCCGGAGCCACCATCAGCATCGTTGCCATGACTTCTAAAATGAAGTGGCTGGGGTTAGGGGGTAGCTCAGCGGTAGAGCACATGCTTGGTGTGCACAAGGTCTGGGGTTCAATCCCCAGGGCTTCCGTTAAGGGGAAAAAGAAAAAAAAATGAAGGTGGCTTTTGCTTTTGCTGAGCACTTTTCCACCCTCTCTCACAGCTCATCGTGGAAGATGGCAAAGGCAGAGATGACATTCTTTCTCCTCGTGAGAGAAACAGGAGAAAGACAGAGCAGCTCGCATGTGGGGCATGTGTGCTCGGCAGTGAGCTACGCATCCCACACTGCCTCACAGAGGAAATGAGGCTGAGACCAGGCCAGCGGTGCCTGGCTCTCGAGGACTCAACGCTCCTTCGATATAATATATGTGATGTACTTTTACTACCCTAAAATGCAACCTATTTACAGGCATAATTTCAGAGAAATTAATATAATGCCCTAACATAAGGATGAATAAAATGAAATAATTTATAGTAAAATTATGGGATTTCAGATTGAAACTGCTCAGGGCCTAGTACTCCAGAGGAGGAAGAAAACCTCACAAATGGCCAGAAAGTCCCCTAGGCTGCCTACCGCCCTCATCATGACCCCTGACGGCAGGTCCACCTCTACAGGGAAGGCCTTCCCCACTTACCTCTCAATCTGAGATAGATACTTGGTCTGAAAGATGCCCCGAGTTTTCAGCGGCTCAGAGATCTGCCCTCGGAAGAGGAATCCCTTCTTGGTGAAGTCAATTAAGATGTTGCGGACGATTTCACCCAGGTACATACCACTGATCATCTTCTCGTACCTGAACAGGGAGGAGGGGGCTGGGTGTCTATATGAAGCCTTCAGTCGTAACCCCGGGTGCCCTAACTGTCCCTCACGGGCATCACTGACCTGTGCACCCAGCTCCATGCTCCTCACAGAGGCAGAGAGAGAGACCAGGAAGGATGAGGAATCCCCAACCCTCCTGGGATCAGACATTGAAACCAGCAGCACTCTGCATCACCGCTGACAGTCCTCTTCCTCACCTGACTCCCTGCCTTTGCCTGACGAAATCCTACTCCAGCTCTCAGCTCATGTATCACTTCTCCCAGAGGCCTGTCCTCCCCAGATGGGGTTTCATCTGCCTAGCTGTTCCCATGCACCTTCCCTCCTTCACAACGCACACGGGTCCTCCGCCTCCCCGCACCCCTGCAGCAAAAGCCTCAAGAGGACAGAGGACGTGTGTCTTGCTCAACTCTGAGTCCCAGGACCTGGCTCTCAGTCAAGTGCTCAATTATATATCTGTAGACTAAGCAGATGGCTGGGCTGAGTCTTCAAGGGACAAGAAGACAAAGGAAAAGTTCCCACCAAATTTTTGGAAGGTTTTGCCAAAGCCCAGAGTGTTAGTCAAGCACCTACAGAATGATAAAGCCACACAGGCTGGAAGGCACACGCGGCCAGCATACCCCTGGGGGCCCCTATTCTTGGGGCTTTTAATTTCTGTCCTCTCCATGCTCAAGGGCCTCCAGAAATGCCAAGGGATTTAAATGCTTCCACGCACACACCCAATCCCAGTGTTCCTAAGCTGGGGAGAGTCCACTGGAATCTGGATACTCCAGAAGATTTCAGGTGGTGGTCCACAAAAAAGACATGAAATAGCACTGTTACCATCAATCCCCGTGCAGACCATCTCACTCCATCAAGGAGACCGTCTCAGCTGGGTACTGATGTGGTTTTAAACCCTTCCAACCCCTGCTGATCTGCCTTCTAACAAAAGGAGCCCTCCTGTAGAGCGTCTGGTAGACAACAGCAGCTGGGATTGAAGAACACTGTCCTTCACTACATCCGTTTTATGATTACCATCTATTATGGTAATGTTGGTTTTCCTCCTTTCCTTCCTTCATTAAACTTAAGAACATAAGCTGATTTAAAGACAAACATTAAGCATAGGTGGTATTTGGAAAAGGCATCATCTTCATGTTAACTGGAGAGTAACTTAGGTTTGGGAGGTCATACCCCAGCTCTTCATTCTGCTCCTGGGGACACAGCTTAGACCACCTTGTTTTGGTTATGACAGGACAGCCTGATTCCTAGGAGTGTGAGAAAAGGGGTCATGTGTCTGTGCTGGAAGGGGGGACACTGCCATCTCAGGGAGGATCCCGGAGACTGGAGCTGTAAAGCTCCAAACAGCCACTAGGTGGTGCAGGAGGTCTGCTGTGGGAAGAGTGACTTGCAGTGGGGCCTGTCTCACCCCTGACCTGAAGCCCCTCCCCCCGCCCCAACTCCCATCCCCTCTCTCACTGGCAATACCCTAATTTCCCTTTCCCATTAACAACTGCAGGTCAAGTGTGTTCTGCTTCCACTAAACAAGGCAGAAACTTGCTGACCAAGAGGTTCCTACCACTCTGATGGGGAAGAAACACAGAGCAAGGGGAAGGCCAGAATGTTCCAGGATACACGCGGTCATTGAGGGAAGTGGTGTGGCTGCTGCCACCCCGTCCCCAGAGAAGGCACCTAGACAGAACATCAACCCTGGGCCATCTTGTACCATGTGTTGCTGCCACCACCCTTCACCCCTAAGTTCTCCACTCTCCTTGGGCCAAAAGCCAAGTCCAGGAGTGACCCTTTGGGACCAGCCTCCAGGCCTCTGTCCTGACCCCACTCCTACTGGAAACTTCTCCCACTGTAACAGGCAGAACGCGGCCTCATGCCCTGCCCATCCTGTCTCCTCCACCAGACGGAATTACCTTTGTTTCCCAACATTAAGAGAATATTCATCCACCAGTTTGTCATAGATTGTTCTGATATCATCCAGACACCCGTTGTCCCCAAAGGCACCCCACTCCATGTTGATGCACATTCGTCCCTCGTTCCCTTCTAGCGTCTCGACGTTCTTCATTTCTTCCATGTAGCAGGCATTGCTGCCGGTCCCTGAAATACATGAGGCGGGGGGTGACTGGCCAGGCTTAGCAACTAGGCCTGGGATTCCATGGATAGGGGTATGCTTTTAAAATGGACAAATAGCTTCACTTTCCCAATGTCTTCCAGGAAAACTTCAAAATATAAGAGTCAGAGTTCAAACTGCCCAGAGCATTTGACTAACTTACTTTATACTCAGACATCGATACCAGGAGCCTCCTGTGTTCACCTGCCCAGGCAGGGCTATGTCTACTTTAATGGCACATGGACTTACAACAAGGGATGTGTCTTTAGTGGTGGAGGCGTAGGCAGCATTCAGACTGGGAGGTATTTCTCTATTTCTCTTTTCCCCTCTCTCTCCATGTACACATACTGTATGTATACACATCCGTCTGTACAAAATAATCCATGGAGGGGCTATTTACTATCATGCCCTGTATGTCTACTTATCTTTTCTTATCATGGTCATGGGCTCTGCCTGAATCATCTCTCCTGTGCTCCAGAATGATGCCCACAGTTAGTTCAGGGAAGGAGAGTGTCCTGAATGTTTCAAGAGTGCCCTTCTAAAGCGATGGTTCCTCGCCATTTGAGTTATCACAGATCTCTTTGAAATTCTGATGGCTCTCCTGAGAAAAAGGACATTCCTCTGGGTGCCACTCACACACTGTACACACACAATCTGTCAAACAGCTTCTAGGGGCTCAGGAGCCTCTGATTTCCAGCCCTGACTTCCCTGGGGCAGGGCTACTCAGACTGCGGTCCCCCAAGGACTAGGGTGGGACCACATACGATTTGCTGTTCTCATCTACAAGTCAGGTACAGACATTGAGATGAAATGTTCCAAAACTTGCACAGCAGTTTCCATGTCAGACATTCAAGCTTGTTGTCATTGGCCTTGTCTCAGTGAATGGACTGGAAATTTAAAACCGCAGAAATTTTAAAACCGCAGATATACACTTGAATCCCCTGGGGAGCTGATCCAGGAGGTCTGGAGTGGAGCCTGAGACTTAGCGTTTCTCACATGCCCATAGGTGATGCTGATGCTCTGGCCCATGGACCACACTTTTACCAGCAAAGCCCCAGAGCATCATGGACCCACCCCGGGGTAGGATGCAAAGGTAGATGGACTTTCAACAGCATTAAGGGAAACAAGGACACCACTACAGCTAGACCAAATGGGCTTTGGTCCTTTTACGCCCTTTAAAGAAACAAGTAGATTTTGCAGATGCTCCTGACTGTGTAACTGTAAGCAGATAGGGTAGAGGGTCCCTGGAGAAAGAGAAACAGGCATGACTTTCTTGACAGAAGAGAAGCTATTTTGTGGGCATTTTGTGATCTAAGCCTGGCCACAAGGAATAATGTTCTTAAGGGAACAAAAGAATACACTGCAATCAAGCAAGAGAAATAACAATAGCAACAGATAATAAATCAGTTGTAAAGACTCTCAGTTTTGTTTCAGTGGTAAAGATTAGCCTGAAGTGCTTTCTTGAGCTATTTTGTAGAGTTTAAACTCCCCTCAGGAGCTCAAACACCAAATCAACTGGATCCTAAGGGATGTCGCTGTTGCTCTTTTCTGACTTCAGTCCACTAAAGCTTGGACGTAGTCCAACCCCGCCCCAATTCTATGCTGAATTCTCCTCTGCTCAAGCCCCTTCATGAATATGCATATACCCTTAGCTGAAAACTTCCCCAATTTTGCTGTTGGGGACACATGGCTTTGAGAAAGTTCTCTGGTGTTCTCCTTACTTGCTCCAATAAATCCTTCCTTCTGATCTTTGGCGTGGCTATCTTTCAGCACCCACCAAACGGTGATGCCAGCTTTCAGGTAACATAACTGGATTATTTTGGTATTCTCAGTTCCCTTTCACCCAAAGTGTAAAAACTGGAAGAAAAGGAGCTCCAGAAATGGAAGGGGGTGCAAAGAAAGCCAAAACATGTGAGCCATATTTTTCACCCATGGGAGTTCTGAGCAGAGATCAATTGATGAGGGAAGGAAAGCCTGGCTTTGCACACACCTGGGGCAGCTGGAGCACCCCGCCTTCCCTCTCCCCGCTCACCGCCTCCACCCCCACCCCAGCACTAGGCCAGCCTGACCTCTGGGGCAGGAAGGTGAGGCCAGACCTGGAAGAAAGTGCTAGGTCACTCTAGCTTTGAATTTCACACCTAAGCCCATTCATAAGCAGAAAAGGGGAGGGGCCAGGTGGAGAAAGAAAGCTTTGCAAAAGAAAGGAAGAAAGAGGCCCAAAGCCAGGCCCCAAACAACCTTATGCCCGGAAATGCTCTGTAGTTCCCACAGGAGCCAAAAGTGGTTTAACAAATGAAAAGGTCTTCCCAGCACTAGGAAGGCAGCCTGCTGGGGCCTTCTCCTTTCTGATCTCCCAGACACTTGGCAAAAAGGCCCGCGCAGCAGGGTGCCGCCCCTGCCAGCCCAGGGAGGGTCTGCAGGTGTTGGCTAAGAAACCAGGCCTTTTCCCAGCATCCCTGACACCAGGAGCAGGATCAGTCAAACAGTTTTCTTACAGCCCAAATCTATATGCTTTAGGAATTATGTGCTCTCAAGGCCCAGACCTCAGTGTACGTGGATTATACGGGAATCCTAAGCTAACAGATGACCCTTCTGGCTCCCACTTCAGCAGCTGGGACCACCCACAAACAGCGGCAGCTAAAGGCCAAATGGCACCCAGGCTGCCCTGGGGCCCTTCTCCACAGCCAGGAGAGGAGGAGGCTCTGCTTCCTTCCCAGCTGCAAGCCCCCAGCCTGCAACACCTGCCCGGAGCCGCTCCCTACAAGCCCTGCAGACCAGGCCGGCTCCAGGCACTCCCACCCTGTCCACCTGAGCTGGTCCTGGAGAGCTCCGTTCCCGACAGGCCGGTTAAAGTCAAAGTGAAGCCTTGCTGGGTAGGTGTTGGGGAGAGGAAACCCCTGTCTCGCCTCTGTCCAGGATGAAACTCTGGAGGTGGTGAGGGGACAGTACTGACAGGTGTCCTGTCTTGCACTGAGCGCTGAGCTGCTGGCTCAGGTTCCCACAAAACAGGAAC